GATGGGATGTTGTGAGGGGAGTGTTGCTGTGATGGGATGTTGTGAGGGGAGTGTTGCTGTGATGGGATGTTGTGAGGGGAGTGTTGCTGTGATGGGATGTTGTGAGGGGAGTGTTGCTGTGATGGGATGTTGTGAGGGGAGTGTTGCTGTGATGGGATGTTGTGAGGGGAGTGTTGCTGTGATGGGATGTTGTGAGGGGAGTGTTGCTGTGATGGGATGTTGTGAGGGGAGTGTTGCTGTGATGGGATGTTGTGAGGGGAGTGTTGCTGTGATGGGATGTTGTGAGGGGAGTGTTGCTGTGATGGGATGTTGTGAGGGGAGTGTTGCTGTGATGGGATGTTGTGAGGGGAGTGTTGCTGTGATGGGATGTTGTGAGGGGAGTGTTGCTGTGATGGGATGTTGTGAGGGGAGTGTTGCTGTGATGGGATGTTGTGAGGGGAGTGTTGCTGTGATGGGATGTTGTGAGGGGAGTGTTGCTGTGATGGGATGTTGTGAGGGGAGTGTTGCTGTGATGGGATGTTGTGAGGGGAGTGTTGCTGCCTCAAGGAAATCCTAAAAATGAGCAACAATTAGATGCAAGAATTTAAAACTAAACCATTACTGCAAGAAAAAAAGGCGTAAAGACTTAAACTGTGTAGAGATGAAGGCAAAGCCCATGTAAAATTGGGAAGCGAAAAACCCCGAAAAACGCGAAAATCCACCAAACAAGAGAGAAACAAATCTCACAGAAAAGAGTAACGGAAAACACAAAAGAGCAGGAAGGATAGCACGAGCTATCTTGCCTGCTCTTTAGGATCACTCAGTGGAAGGATTATTCTTAAGAGAGGCAAGCAAAACAGAAGAGGGTATAGGTACACTAAAAAGAGGGACACGAAATAGAATGGGACTGCTCACACGGGAGAGAAGGCAACCGAGAACTTATTTCAGTGCGCAAAAGAACAAGATAAGAAACTTTTTTTACACTCAACACATAAAGAGAGGATCTGAGCGGGAAGGAAAGAGAGAGTATTGAAGACTACAAAAAAAGAGGGAAGCAAAATATCGAAAGCAAACAGATTGTAAGAGCGTATTAAAAATGGATGAATTTTACGCTGAAGAAAGGCAAGACATGTACAACTTAGCATAGATAAAAAATCGTTCATAAGCCTACGTTGGTTTCACTCAATCATCCACGCAGCACCATAGAGTAGTGAAGAAAACAGACTTCAAAAGAAGGAGGAAAAAATAACGCCAAAGTGAGGGGAGTAGATCATGGAGAAGAAATAAATTGATGCTAACTTTAGAGATGAAATTAGCGCACTAAAACATAGGGCAGCAGAGCGCACAATAGAGAAGGAAACGGCGGAGTTGCATTTGGATAAAAAAAAGAAGGAAGGTGAGTAGACGGAAAAGAGGGAAGCTGAGTAGACAGAAAAAGAGGGAAGCTGAGTAGACGGAAAAAAGGGACGCTTAGCAGACAGAAAAAAAAGAGAAGCTGAGTAGACAGAAAAGAAGGAAGCTGAGTAGACAGAAAAGAGGGAGGCTGAGTAGACAGGAAAGAGTGAAGATGAGTAGATAGAAAAAGAGAAGCCGAGTAGGCAGAAAAGAGGGAAGCATAGCAGGCAAAAAAAGAGAGAAGTAGTGTGCACTGGAGAATAAAAGTAGAAAAATAGCAATTAGAGAGGAAAGAATTGTGGAATAAATCATCGCTCGCTAGGAGAAGGCAGGGTAAACCGGGCCATAAAACTTCTGGCAATATCCTTCTGTCAGATGGACATCCATCTTCTGCTAATGGAAGGAGCATTCCATGTCTGTGTGAAAATGTCTTGAATCTTTTGTTTCAGTCTCACCGCAACACAATTATTAATTTGTATCTGACTTCAACCCAATCTCAACCCAATCCACCAACAGCTGTGGATGCAGCACTTGGTCATGAAGCAACAGGTATGCAACACCTGTCAGTGCAACACCTCCTGATGCAACACCTGTCAATGCAACACCTCCTGATGCAACACCTGTCAATGCAACACCTGTCAGTACAACGCCCTCTGATGCAACACCTGTCAATTTGCAACACTTGACAATGCAAAACTAAAGAATGCAACACTTGACAGTGCAACACTTGACAATGCAACACTTGACAATGAAACACTTGACAACGCGAACCTTGACAATGCAACACTTGACAGTGCAACACTTTGACAGTGCAACACTTGACAGTGCAACACTTGACAGTGAAACACTTGACAATGTAACACTTGACAGTGAAACACTTGACAATGCAACACTAAACAATGCAACACTTGACAATGCGACACTTGACAATGCAACACTTGACAATGCAACACTTGACAATGCAACACTTCATAATGCAACACTTGACAATGCAACACTTCATAATGCAACACTTGATACTACAATACTTCACTAAACAATGCAACACTTGATAATGCAACACTTGATACTGCATGACTAAATAATGCAACACTTGACAAGGCAGCACTTGACAGTATAACACTTGTCAGTGCAACACTTGAAAATGCAATACTTGACAATGCAACACTTGACAATGCAACACTTGACAATGCAACACTTGACAATGCAACACTTGACAATGCAACACTTGACAATGCAACACTTGACAATGCAACACTTGACCTGTCTCTTATACACATCTAGATGTGTATAAGAGACAGATGCAACACTTGACAATGCAACACTTGACAATGCAACACTTGACAATGCAACACTTGACAATGCAACACTTGACAATGCAACACTTGACAATGCAACACTTAACAGTACCACGAAGGCCAAAGCAATAATTGATGATGAAATACTTGACAATGCAACACTTGGTTATACAACATTTGAAAATGAAACACCTAGTAAAACAATGCCTGTTGATCGAATTAAGTCACTGGATCACTCCTCACCTGCATCATAATAGCGACGAAGAAGATGAAGGCTGACGAGAATGAGATGATGCCCACCGTCTTGTACCAGTCTTTGGCAACGTTCTGCTCCAACAGAGGCCTTCCACCCCACTCTCTACCCCTCTCACAGCCCACTCCTTCTATCTGCTGATACGAGGGGCCCACAACAGCCCCACTCGTTGTCCTATTCGGGTTAACCGAGTCCCCAAGGACCCCAGCACCTCGTCGCAGGAAGTCCCGCTGGGAATATGACCACTCCACCCGGACGGAGTCGTTGAAACTCACAAACTGCGATCTCTCCGCTTCGAAATCAATGTTGTTGGTGCTTGTGGATCTCGGGGAGTAGCTAAAGTTGCGAGTTGGGTAGTTACTGTGGTGGTAAGTGAATGGTCGACTGTCTGGGTTTCTCGAGTTATTCGAGGCAAATATCCGCGATGATTCAGCAGTTATGGCGCTTTCAACTTCGACGGAAGATTCGTTAGAGCGAATTGAGGTGTCTGGTCTCTCCATACCTGGCTGGTATCTACTCTTGTAAGCCTGGAACCTTCTTTCTTCATCGGGGTTTCTAAACACTCTTGAAAAATTTGGATAGTCTGTGAAGCCGATTGTTGAATGTGGCGCGTCTGCTTCAGTAGAATGGAGATCAGGAATGTAAACTCTTAGATGACCGCTTGAACTCTCACCAAAGGCCACGCGTTCGGTCGATCCCTCATCAGGTTTAGTGTTCTCGCGTGATATTATTGAGCTTCCTGAAGTGGTTGCAACCGTTTCGTCTGTTCTGTTGATAAGTTTTGAATGAGAAGAAGTCGAGTTGATAGGTGCGTTTGTAGGCAAGATACCTTCGCTATCTTTTGTTCTGCTTCTCAATGCTTCGCTACTCTCGATGTCGCTGCTTTCGCCTTCAATAAAGACTGGAAGGCGTTCGTGAATGTGTGAGTGGCCTTCAGGCGTGGTACGAGGGAACGTAATTAATTGGTTCGTTGAGACTGTTCTTGTGACAGCTGTGGAAGGACATCCACCGCTCTGGTTCTCTAAAGAATCCCTACCAATGCCTGGAAATGAGTATTTACAACTGAAGAAATCGCCAGAATTTGATGGGCATTGACTGGTATTAAATAATTGCGATGTCAAAGAGCAAGAGGTATAGTTGTCGAGTCTGTCATGGGCTGAGAAGAGTTGACTCTGACAAGAAAATTGTAGCTCGTCTTCGTTACAAGACTGAGGCTGTGACAGCCGTTCCGTTGCATCGACGGCGCAGTGGCTGGATTCTTGTCTATTTGTTGTTGTTGATCTACTCCTTGGCATCAAGTACTGACTGCAATCAGCTGCTGCTGGAGTGTACGTGCCACCATCGCTGATTTCTGGCGTAAACTCTTCTCTTGACTGCACTATACATGCATTAGAAACTCCACCGAACGTCGGAACGTAATCGGCTGTCCCAAGTCGGAACTCGGCGATGTCATTCCCATCGGTTGATCCGACAAGTTGCGAGCTGTAACCCTGCGCGGACGATGCACTAGAGTCATAATTACTAGTAGAGTACGCATTTCTGTTAGGATCTACCCTCAGAGCAAGATATTCACTGTAGTTTTCATCGTCTGGGGCCATTCGATAGTAGTCGCCTGGGTCGTCTGAGGACATATACTCGAACGCTCTGATGTCGTCTTCGTCTGCGGCGTTGAACTGTCGGAAGTGTCGTTGCGGGAGCGATGTTGTGCCATTGAAGCGATGCCATTGCTTCACTCCTATTAACCACATAACGCATCTAAAGGAATCCTACTTGCAATAATGGGTAGTTCATTTCAAAACTGAGTATTTATTCAATTAAACATACGGAAACGTAATTCCATAGAAAGGGTTTCGAAAGGCATTATGCCAAAAATAAATCCTAAATTAAAAACTGAATTAATCTTTGGAAGAAAAATTACAACCATATTAGAATATTTTTACATTGAAGCAGAAAAACTTAAAATAAAACTAAATAAATTAGGAGCGGTCATGTCAACATTGAATTAAGCAATTTATGTATACAACAGTGATATCTTACACGCTCTGACTTAAATTACATTCAAAAATTCCCTACAGAAAATCCGCTAATCAATTGAACCCAAAAGGTTCAATTGATTCTTAGTAGCTGCCCGTTACGGTCTGCGGACGTGGTGACGGTCGGCGGCCTCACCCGTTTGTGATAATTACTGCGCATAAATAAATGTGAAAATCAATATCCTGCAAAATATTCATCTAAAACAAGAATTATTCATATCAAATCAAGATACGACACCGCTACATTTCCATTAAACATTCTCCACACAGACAAGAATCATCCATACAAATGAACGCATCCATACAGCTAAAATTCATGTAGGAACATTTACAATCTACAAGAGCCGCTTAAAACTTCGGTACATTTCTGTACTGCAAACAAAAACGCAACGAACGCGCCGGCATTATATAAATAATATGAAAATTACATAAGATGTTTTATATAGATCATTGCTGCTCTATAGACCTACACGACTCTTGGTCATCGCTGCTTATAGGCCTACACAACTCTTAGTCATCACTGCTTTTTAGGCCTACACGACTCTTAGTCATCGCTGCTTATAGGCCTACACAACTCTTATTCATCGCTGCTTTTAGGCCTACACGACTCTTAGTCATCGCTGCTTATAGGCCTACACAACTCTTAGTCATCACTGCTTTTTAGGCCTACAAGACTCTTAGTCATCGCTGCTTTTTAGGCCTACTAGACTCTTAGTCATCGCTGCTTTTTAGGCCTACTCGAGGTCATTGCACTTAAATTTTTAAATAACGCATTTTGTGCCTACCACTCAAATAATATTATGCCTGTACTACATTTTCTTACAGTTTTCGTAATTGGATTCATAACAAAAAAATTTATTCAGTTTTCAACATCTCACATAAATTCATGAAAGTTAATCGCATGTACATTAACTAGCAGCATTTTTTCAGCACTAAATCTCGCTTTTACTGCATGAATAATCGAAGCCATTGAGAGCTTTACTGGAAGCACTCGCGGTATTTTTAGTGAGCGAAACAATTCCATACCTGCCTTCTACTTTTAATCAATATTTCAAAATTTAAAATTAATTCACACTGAAATGCATTCCACAAATTTACAATGCACTTGATAAATTTTCATATTTTTATCAGTAAACACGACGCTTGTATAGGGGCTCACTACATGTACTCCATACACTAGGCGGCAGGAGCGACAAGCGACACAACCTCACTCGCTCGACAGCCGCAGCGCACTGAGAGGTTGGCGCGAGGGCATCACCTACAAGAGGGAAATAATGTATCTTGCCCTCTTCTATTCTGGGCTGTGCACCTGCATACCTGCTGCCGACCCTTGCATCATCCAACGCATTTTTTCTCAGTTTGTGAGGAATTCTTTCTTAGAATTTCTTGACCAGTCAGGGTATTTTTGTTTGTTGTTTGTTATTTTGATGTAACTTCAACGGAGTTTGTTGTTTGTTATTTTGTTTTTTTTTCATGTAACTTCAACGGATGAATTTTTTAATTTATAGAAATATTAGAATTGCCGAGGACTTCAACTATAGAGTTTTCTCATTGAATCTGAAGAATTTATTGAATCGTTGAATTTAAAAACTATCAATAAAGTGGTCTTTTTTAGATTTTAATGAAATCGCTTAAATTGATATAAATACTTAGATTTAATTACTAAATTATCTAAATAATCATAGAAAGTCTCGGTTGAAAACAGGTAATGAAACTTATAGATAGCACCGCATTTATTGAGAATACATATTCACAAAATAGCTTTTACGTAGCCTATACTTTAACAAATACCAAACACGAGCTTCACTTTTAAAATCTTTACTAAAATGCACACTTGATAATTTAATCGAAAATAACCGACACACATCACATTAGGAGCGTGTGTAGTTATTTAACTCTTTCTTAAACAAATGGAGATTCAAAAATGTACATAATATTTTAAAGTGGTTACCGTTTTTCGTGGGTATCGAACGACTGAAATCTAATAAAATTTCAAACTATTTCAATTAAAGACGCCATTTCAATGTTTTCATATTCGAACAAGACAATTACGGTGCCCAAACCGATGAACATTTGAATGAAAATATTACTAACCAATCGCTGTTCCGTCAAGCTTTGATTGTGAAACACTAACTTACCAATCGCTGACAGTTGTGAAAAATTGTGAAACTCGGTAATCGAGGTTCACAATGAGTGTTTGTGATCGCCCTCGCAAACGTTCATAATTTCCTGTTTATTATTAAAATATGCCATAGTAGCAGAGACTTGTTAGTGCTAAACACATTATACTTAAAATAAATGATTTATAGAATATCTTTATAGAAGAATAATTTATAATTTATAGAAGATTTTTATTATCATTCTGACTTCTGTAAGTAAATTATCCGATATAAATGTATTTTATTATCCAATGGGTGGCAAAAGAGATATATAATATTAATTTTAGAGGATGCACAATGTTAATAATAGCCCTCGAAAGCTTCATTATATTGGGCCGTAAGTTGTGTGATGTCGGAAGATCAAATAAAAAAAATAGTCGCTATCCGCTGGCCAAAAATTCAGGGAAAAGATGGAATGATTGATAAGGATAATGATTAGTCTATGTCAATGAGTCTAAGTCAATGAGTCTAAGTCAATGAGTCTATGTCTATGAGTATGTCTATGAGTTTATGTCTATGAATCCGTGTTTATGAGTCTAAGTCAATGAGTCTATGTCAATGAGTCTATGTCTATGAGTCTATGTCTATGAGTATCCGTGTTTATGAGTCTAAGTCAATGAGTCTATGTCAATGAGTCTATGTCTATGAGTCTATGTCTATGAGTCTATGTCTATGAGTCTATGTCTATGAGTCTATGTCTATGAGTCTATGTCTATGAGTCTATGTCTATGAGTTTATGTCTATATGAGTCTATGTCTATGAGTCTATGTCTATGAGTCTATGTCTATGAGTTTATGTCTATGAGTCTATGTCAAAGAGTCAATGTCAATAATTAGATAAGATCGGACGGCTATAAAAGATTTGATATACGAGAGGCACGAGCTTAGGAGCTCCGGGAGCAGTGATAAGACTTAAGGGCTCCGGCAATGATAAAACATTTAAATAATTACCCAAATATTGTATTAGTTCAATTCAGCGCATATCTATGGCGAAAGGTTATCTGAATTTCATGAGTTGAGAGGCCAGCGTAAACTTTAACTTTTGGCCAGCGTAAATCTTACGCCGTATGAACGCAATCCGTTGCTCTGAATATCATGAAATTCATAGCAATGGATTGCGTTCATACGTCGTAAGATTTACTTTGGCCAAAAGTTGTTCGCGTCACATATGATAGTGATGAGGGCTTACGATACGCTATAGATGAGGGCTTACGATGCGACATTGATGCGTCAGAAGGCTTTATTGTGCACAAAATATATGCATGATCAGGAACGATGAAATGAATGTCGTTGTTAATATTCATGTAAGCTTTTTATGGTATTGATGTGTGGGACACATATAATATTTATGTGTGAGACACATATAATATTGATGTGTGAGACACATATAATATTGATGTGTGAGACACATATAATAATTATGTGTGAGACACATATAATATTTATGTGTGAGACACATAATATTGTTGTGTGGGACACATATAATATTGATGTGTGGGACAGATTATTTATTATATTATTATTATAACACATACAACATTATTGTGCGCAGAGTTTATTCAAGTGTGCGACAAATGTTGATTGTTGTAAGTATCCGATGCTGCATATAAATGTTGTAGACCGTGTATGAAATATGCATAGTATAACATCTATGTAGCAGAATATAACAATATCTATGTTGTCGACTGCAAAGCATGTAATAGACTATGTCTTAAGACTATGTAAATGTTTTGAAATGTACAACATAGACGAGGTAAACTATGCTTGATTGGTTATATATAGGCATTACAACAGATAAAAAGTTGAATACGCTACAGATTTGTAATAGATTGTTCAGCATATATGTAAGTTGAGACTATACATAAACTATGTAGTAGACAATACGCCATCTATGTTGGGACCATACATCAACTATCTAGTAGACAATGCTCCATCTATGTTGGGACTATACATAAACTATGTAGTAGACTATGCTCAATCTATGTTGGCACTATACATCACCGATGTAGTAGACTATGCTCCATCTATTCTGGCACTATACATCTAATAATATATATAGTTGACAATACTCCATTTATGTTGGCACTTCACATCAAATAGTGTATATAGTTGACAACTCTATCTATATTGGCACTATACATCACCTATGTAGTAGACCACGCTAAATTTATGTGGGGTTTATAGAGTAATTATTTTGAAGACTAAGCGCTTTTTATGATGAGTCCGTACAATATAATATTGCAGACTATGCTCCATCTATGTAGGCATTATACAATAATTATGCTGGACGCCTCATACACATATGTTGGGTACATAATAATAAACAATAATTATTAAGCAAACAAACCTTCAACTACCGTCATGCGTACGCGCACAATTTTTATTCAGAGACCTGGGCCTATACTTTCAAAAAAAGTTAAGAGATCGTGAGTTCATCAGCCAATCATTGACGACCTTTCAAGTAAAATCCACCAATCATAGACCTTCTAACAGAGCGTAAGTACCTACGTTCACTTAGCGAGTTTTGAAAGCATGGCCCCTGAACCCTTGGGATTTTGATAATTCGTGCCTTATTTATGAGTTTGAATTAGAGCTACAATCAAGTTATAATTACGAATATTTCCTGCTTGCTTTGTGTTTCAATCAATAATCCAATCAA